GCCAACGAATCATGGGGTACTCCTGGGCACGTATTACCAGCGCTCAGACCGCATGCAAAGTAGCTGTCATTTTGGACTCCTCAAAACACACGCATCAATAGCGCATGCCGACCTGGTGTACGAAACGGACAGCAGCGCGCGGTCCATTCGGCTTCGATCCTCCAGTAGGGACTGCTTTCATCCCACCATAACCGAGCCAGCTATTCACCTGCTTTTCCTACTGCCCAGCTCGCCGGCCATTCAGAGGACGTTCCCGGTCATGCGAGGTGAGCGTTTCATCTAACCCCGTAGGCGGAGCGCCACGTGCCACGGCGTAGCGGAGCACAGGTGCCCGCGCCTGTGACGTCATGTCACGTGTGCTGCCGGCAGGTCGGATTGCCCGAGGCGACTATGCAGACAGATAAAATTAATGGCCCCATTCGGGGGATTAGTTGCCCTGATAGTCGGCGCGATAAGGGGGCGCGTATGTGGCGGCGGCGTGTGTGAACGATGCCGCTATATATGGCCTGAGGGGAGGTCAGCGACGGCCGTCTGGTGACGATGTCCAGGCGAGATTTACACAGCTGAAATGCGACTTACACCCGTTTTGAAATCGCACCTGGTGGACAAGAAGACTGAAATTGGGTACGTTGTGCATAAGGCACACGGACGGAGTAACGAGCAGACCTTGATGTCATTGGTAAAGGCAATGAGATTGCAAAATAGAGTAACGAAAGCTCACACTCCCGGAGCATGCAGAGGTACGACATTTATCGGCAACTTTTTAGTTTAAACGGACTTAGTTGGGGATATCTTTGGAAGCTAATCAAAGTTTTCGGATTTTGGCTTCTTGGGCACAAATGAGATTTCTAAGGTGGGAGCAGATCTCTATAATATCGAAGGCTATGCGTTTGGCTATTTAGCGGGGTGCGACACCAAAAGGCAAACGGGCTTTCATAAAGTCAGTTATATATTTACCGACTCATCCAAGCGTTTCACATTGCAAAAAGGCAGATGTTTTTGCTCTCAGGGTGCGCTTAACTTTTCAGGTTATCTAGCTTGAGCATCTCCGCCAGTTGCCGCGGAAGCGACAGAAAGCCATTACGATGGGCAGGTGGCCGGGCTTGAACACACAACTTAACTCAGACGGTCGTGGGCGAGCACTTTAACCACCTGCACTATCCTGTCACACGCAGAATGGCTGGGATTCACTGCAGATGGCATAACGAGCGCATTTCACTTCCGCCGATTGACATCAAGCCACATGTCATTCACCGATTGGTGGTCTTGCGCCGCTTTGAACCATCTGTATTTTTTTGGTGTGGGGGGGGGGGCTAAAACAAGAGGAAGGCCCCTGAACTATACAAAGTTGACTGTGTCTCATCCGCATGATGGGGTTTTGTTCACTCCCATTTGTTTTCATCTGGAAGATAACTGGTGAAGCTGGATGCGATGATGCTTTCCGTCGCTCTTTGCATTTTTTCAGGCTGGATTTTCTTCGCTCTAACGGAATCCAGGCTGAAGGCAGCTTCTTTGCCACACCAACTGAGGATGGGACGTTAAGTGTTTGAATGTGTATTCCATCGAAGTTTAACATCCAAGTCTGGGTCCATCTTGATTGTGACGTCATTTGCTTGAGGCGTCATAGCCAAGAAGCTGTAAGGTCGATGAGCCTGAATTATTACGCCATTCATTTGAATAGCTTTTATGCCATTGCCAGTGTAGTCGACGTTTTGACTAAGGATTATGGTGATTAATGAATTACTAGCAACGCCAAAAGACTTCGATCATTTAAATCATTCGAGAATGGCCACCTAATTAAGCAGATTTTTCTCAAATGAGCAAACCGATGCGATATTGGTTATCAAGCTTCGACAACGTAATCATGTATGTCCAAGCACGAGTTTTCAAAACATTTCAAAATGTTTTTAACATTTTACACCAATTCCCGGTCATGCAAGCCGCCATTAGACATCATTTGCTTTTTATACTAACATAATTCGAGTTTGCACAACGTTGGTCAATCGCATTCTTTCTCTATGCCTCAGTGCAGCATAGGCCTCTGCGAGGGCGTGGAAGCAAACAGTTCTTAGCTCGGTCGTAACACCACGGGGTTTAGTCTAAAGAAACGAAATTGAATACGGTCGTGTGCATTCCTTCATAGATGCATGACATGTTTGATGGTCTTCACACCCCCGCCCTTACCCACACTTCCACTCCCACCCCAACCGCCACTTACACTCGCAACCCAACTCTCAACGTCAATCCTACCCCCCCCCCCCCAGGCCTATCCAAAACCCCACTTCCATCCACGCTCCCACCCTATCCAGACTTCCACTTCCGCTTTCATTCCCACCCCACCCGATTCCCGTCTCCATTTCCACTCCCATCCCTACTCCCATCTTCACTCCCACTCTCACTCCCACCCGCACTCCATATCCACCCAATTCCCACTGCCATCCCCACTCCCACCCATCCTCATCCCCCACTCCCACCTACTTCCACTCCCACTCCCACACCCACTCTCACACCCACCCCTCGCCCTGTGTCAACATCACCACGCGCGGCCTATCACTAGACCGTTCGGTTGCCTGGAGCACACAAGCTTTCACGAAAGTTTCTCCCCAGGCTACGCCGCTTTTGATTCCGTGGAATTCAGTGAGGTGTAACAGCGAGCATGGCTTAATCTCAGCCAGGCCAATGGTTGAACTTCCTACTCTGTGATCAAAAGCAATGGGATGGTAGAAAGTTTGCCGGATTACGGAAGAGTTTAGCTTGCGAGGAGGTACGCCATGCACATCGGCTGCTCATTCGGCACACGGTGGGATGCCATTAAGCTCTTGGGGTCCACTCGCCAAAGTGAACTTTAAATGTTGCTACCTGGAAAGTGCTCTTTTGTGGAAGGCAGTAGGACGTCATCGGATCTTTTAAAAAGTTATCTCAAGTGCAACGTTCAGGAAAGTTATATTTGTGTTCAGCCGGATGTCCGTGTTGCTCTTGTGATAGCTTTGCTCAATCCTGCGTGTGACGTCCGCTCGCTTCCACTCTGCTGGCATTGAGAATTATAGCCGTTGTAAATGAAACTTACTTTGAGAAATACGTCGACGCATATAAGATCTCTTCAAACATCATAAGGCAAGTGATGGTTGTATGCAGTTTGAAGCCATGGTGTATTATTGGAAAAGCGATGTGACCTTGAACAAGCGACTTTTGCGCGACAGCAATGTCGCGCAAAACTCCATTTTCCCTCAAACAAGGTGTTTAGAACAAAAGGAAACAGTGTCCCTTGTTGTCGAAGCACCTTCCATCCTGGAATATCCAGATGCAATTTTTCCTTTCCAAATACACGTGTTCTGAGACATCACAAAATAGGCATTTACGAAACTGGTATCTTTCCCATTTTCAGGGCCTTCTTCGCCAGTGCGACAGTACGGTGGGTGAGCCGTTTCCGGAAACCCTGATGGAAATGTCGCATTAATCCTGTGTGTTGCTGTTGTATATTTAGACTTAGTGTTGGAAGATTGTGTCAAATCCAGATTGCGCAGGTTTTGCTGGTGACGACAGCTGATAAAACTCGTAAAAATTACCGTAAGAGCAGAGAACACATCGCCTGAGAATGTGTTATCGTGAACATATCTGCGTCAAAAGGCACATCATGTGTCTTGAATATTCCTTGTGCGTGCAACGCAACGGTGAACACGGAAGCCTGAGAACCTTCGTCGTTGCTGAGGCAAAATACAACAACGCCTGCGTCCAGAAAACGTAACTGCACACGACTAAAAGTTTTGCAGGCTACGGGAAACTGCAGTTCGTAATATTTTGGGAACGTCATAAACACACAGCTCTAAAATTGCATTACACCCGTCCAGTGTCCGTGCTGCAACCACTCTGAATGCAAACAGATGGTACTGACACCTGGCCAACAGCAACCCACCAGGGGTGTGGGCGGGGGTCACAGGGGACGTGCATCCGCTCCCTTTTAGGTCCCGGATGGCCCTAAGGACGCCGAGTCAAATGTCAGAGGAATATCAAATGTAAGAGAAACTCCTGCGTTGGTGAAGGTCCTCTGGAAATGAATGAAGACGTGAGAAGGGACGATGAAAAAATCCACAGAGAGGCAATGAAAGGGGTCTGTGTCAGTCAGGAGGCCCAGTGCCGAACGAGTGGTTTGTGTCGGCCAGGAGCCCGTTAAACCGAAATAGGAGGCATGCCAATGATCAGACCCCATCCTCCTGTGTTGACAGTATTATTTTGTGTCAGTGAGGGTCCCTGAGTCCATCTGCGCCCATCTGCCCCGGTCAAAAGACTTCCTGCGTCAGGGAGAAGACCAATACAGCGGTATTCATTTGTGTCAGTGATGGCCCCTGGGTCAATACACGCCCATCTGCCCCGGTCAGAGGGCCTAGACAGAAGGCGTTAGGTGCTGCAGGCTGGGTCAGAAGGGCTCTTCAGCCCCTGAACGCTGAACGTGAGGGGCAATGGGCTCTAGTATAACGGGGGACCTTGTCCGGTACACGTAAGGGGTCTTGCTAGTATTCCACTCACGGCTTGAACACTTCCACTTCCGGGCTTGAACACACAACTTAACTCAGACAGTCGTGGGCGAGCACTTTAACCACTTCACTTCCGGTACTACATGCTACACTAAACGTATGGAAGTGTTCAACGCAACGCAACGCACTAACCACACGCATTCGCTTGGAATGACTTGATAAATCAACGGAGAAAATTGAAACCACGCCGAATGAAGTGGCGAATTCGGTAAATTCGTCCTTTTTGGGGACCGAGGTTTTTCCTCAAGGTCCGCGACACTCCCCATCACTCCCATTAAGGAGACTGGCTTCACCCCTGCACTTCGCCATACATGGGCACGTCCTCAGAGAGGTCAGTGGAGATGGCCACCGACAGCATGCCGTGCTGGTGTAGACGTTCGCCATCTGGCCTACTGAGCCGTGCAGTGACAGGCGGCTGCGGTTTGTGAACCTGTGGCGTCGTGGTTCTCAAATGCAGTTGTGTTTCAGCCGAGATCGCCGCACACCCGGCCCCATGTCATGGATACGCTGCCTGCTGCTCGGCCTGGTCCTGGCGCTGGGAGTGCACTGCCTCCCGACCAGTGCCGACGCATTAGGACAAGACGGCCAGTCGCCGGTGGACAAGGGTGAGGCTTGCTGTCATCCGCTAGTCCCCTTCTTCTGTCCTGTGCT